AATTTATGAATTTTTTATGGGTACATACTTTTTTTCTTACTTTCTTCAATAATTCGATTTTTTAAATAAATTGTTCATAAAATTAATTCCTCAAAAATGTTAAAACTCAATCTATTAAAGGGATTATTTTAAAAAAAACGCAAAAGCTCATTAGTATTTTTTGTGCATACACTTTAAGATTTTTCACCACCCAGTCCGAGCCTAAAGCATTGAAATCTCGTTCCGTTGTAAACATTCAATATTCTATATCCAAAAATGTTCGATCGTTACATTTTTGGTCATCCATTGTAATTTCATGATCTCTTTGAGATCATCAGGTATCAGGGGGCGTAGCTCAGATGGTAGAGCGCTCGCTTAGCATGCGAGAGGTACCGGGATCGATACCCGGCGCCTCCAATTATTTTGTAATTGAAAAAGATTTACTGAAAAAAAGATCCGAGAATGATTTTAGACCAAATATTGAAAAACTTGGCGGTTTTTTGATGATTGTGTATAACAGTAATTTCTCTACAATTCCACAACTCAATACAAATAAAGTATCACTCTGTATAAACGAAACAGTTAATTACTATCTTTTGTGTATACAATTTAATTTCCCGCAAAAATTTAACTTATAGCAATGAAGCCTTGATTTGTTATAAACAATCAATATACATCGTACCAATAAGTGTTCAATTACACTGTTTGTTGATGATTGTAATAAAGTGATCTTTTAAGCTTTAACAGGCTTAAGGAGCCGTAGCGAAAATGCTAGAGCTCTTTCTTAGCTTCTTTCTGCAGAGGAGATAGCAGTGACCCCAAAAAAGAAAGAAAAAGAGAAAACAACAGGTCGACCTTCGACTTGACCAACTCTGTTGAAATCGTGCATCGTACCGATTCATCCTCCCCGCAGCTGGCGCCTATCTCTGCACTTGCAACACTCGCGCCAGTGTCCAGCGAAAGCGCGAGGAATTAGTTAAACATCGGATCAATTTGTAATTATTAAAGCCGAACAATGTGTCTTAACATGACGCGTAGCTTGTCCGAGCACGTGTTAATCTAGGACCCAGCCAGGTTTTTCTACCTCGTCATCGTCGTATACTATATATCCTACGTACCTCGAGATTTGCGCGACGCTCTGCGCGCAGTCAGTCAGCCGTAACAGTGCGAATAATCATTATTGCCGCGTACGTGTATGTGTGTAAGCCCGTGGTGCTGTATATACGCCTACGCAAAATTGACCCGTTTCCGCTGCTTATTATAAACAGCTCTTCCTTTTTTTTATTTTCAAGCAGCGCGTATGTATACTCTGACGATCGGTTCTCACGCGTGACTTGGCAGAACTGCGCAGAGGGCCCAACTGCGGCGTTAATAAGCCCTCGGTGTTGGTGTGTGTGGGTATGCGTGTAAGGATGCACGATAAGATAGACATATGTAAGCGAGAGTTTCGAATTGCCTCTTGCTCTTTATGTACATTCAGAAGTTCTTGACAGTGGATTTTTATTACAAGTTCAAATAGGCTCGTTTTAATCGTGACATTAAAGTTAATTTGCGGGAAAAAATGTGGGTATAAATGCTCGAACCGATCGCTTGATCGTTATTGGGTTGAATAAACCAGCGATATATTCACCTGCTGCTTGGCAATATCGGGACAACGTATTGTATCGCGTCGCAGCGATGGCAGAATTTATTAACCCTCGTGTTATACGTCCGTGTGTGTATATGCATGTGTTTGTGGAGCAACTCATCGGCGCTATACGCGGCTCGAGAGATGACAAACTCCACTGAGCCGCCTCGCGCCGAGAGATAGAGATGCAGAGAAAATATTGCAACGGGTGGGCGTGCGTATTATACGTCGCGACGACGACAACGACAACGATAAACATTCGAAAATACAACGCCACATGAATCATCTAGAATTCGATTCGGATCGCCGTGTGTACTATACCGTCGGCAGCGGGTACCACAATAATATCCACTTTATTCGGCCGAGCTTGTGTGTTAATATACGTCTGCAATCGGTGGTCGGATTTTTTATTTGTAGATTTTATATCGTACATGGATCCCGACATGGAAACGCTTATGTCGAACACGGCTCTCTCTCTCTCTCTCTCGATATACACACGCATAGCCGCGGTGTGCTGCGCGGCAATACGATGCTTTTTTGATCGATTCGTGTAGTAGTTGTTGGAACGGTGGCAATTTATCCGCATATATACGTGTGCCGCGCAAGAGATTGAAATATACAAAATGACGATTCGAGCCGCGTTATAGTCACTCATGGCAGAAATCGACTGTCTATATGCTCTGCAGGTATAGCGGCGGGAGCAGAGAAGGCGTCGCCGAACTATGCGCTGAATCACCCGCAACGAGAGTTTTCCTGTCAGCACCAGCTATATAGTACCAGCTATCGTGTGCGCGTAGTACATAGTAGATGTCGTCGTCGGGCGAAATAACCCCGCGTGCGGAGTGTACGTGTGTATGTGTGTGTGGTGTGGGGATGTAGAAAGGCAAAGCGCGCGCGGGACTCGACTCGTTCAACGGTAGCAGCCGCCGCGAAAGCCAGCCAGAAATGAATGCATACGAACGCCCATTAAGCGAATAAATCAGGCTAACGTTATCCGCAGAATAGCATAATCGATCTCACCTAACTCCGAGCTAGACAACTATGCTAAATTCTTCCACCTCCGCATCCCCTTCCCCCTGCGAATACAAACTCGTACTGCAGCTTTGTAAGCGTAAATTCTGGCCTATGGATTTCGGCTTATCCGGAGAGCGCAACGATTTCCCAATGTCCAGCCATTTTCCTTTTGATATAATAATTTTCCATTACGTTCTTTGAATGTGCGGCTACACACGCAAGGCCATAAATGTGTTCGATGCAAAAGGTGCATAAATCGCTTGGTTACGCACGCACACAGCATCCCATACACAAGCTCGTACACGCGCCTATTCAAGCTACCACTTTCAAGAATGCCTTTCGGACTCTTCAACGCGCCGTCTCGATTATGCAGTGCGTATAGATGTACAGCGGCGAAAATGTTCCGGCGCACGCGCGCGTATGTGTGTGTGTATTGCGCTCGTGCCTTTGGCCCCGGAGGTCGTAATAAAGCTAATTCCTGCTCGAGGCACCGCGTCGTGTCTTGCTCCGCGTTACCCCGCCGACGCGTGTATTATCCCCGTGTACGGGTGAGCTTTGCATACATATAACCTGCGCCCGCTCGTGTTGTGTACGCTCTTTTCCGCACGAATGATTCTCTGCCGTGTATTATTATTATTACTCCAAGTGGAGAATCGCTATGAATTGATTTAGCGGATGCTGATTAGGCTTGCTCTCGAGAGAGATATGCTTTTTTCACGGAGTTCGAGTTGCTCTGTACTTTCAAGTGGCGTATGCTGATTTCGTCCAAGTTTAATTTTTCTCTACAAGTACATGCGGTGGTTATTGTTGTTGTTTCGATGTTCTTGCTTTTTAGCTTCCATCGGCGTATAACGACGAACGACACGCGGCCATCTCTCCGTATAGGCGACGCGCATCGGGGCTTTGATCGATTACAGCTTCCTATGAGCATCCTCGAGCTTTATAGATACGTGCATGCACATATCGTACAAGCGCCTCGGTAGACCCAACCTTAATCGAGTCTGCCCGTATATATACGATGTGTAATTTCACCTTTGCATCTCGGATGAATTGCGAGGCAGCAGCAGCGATGGCGGCGTTGACACGTTCTGCCTTAATTAATTCATGAATTTTGACGGAGCCTCCTCGTGCGAGGCGCAACATCATCGCTCGTAACACGATCGTCATCTGTGAAAATTCATCCCTGAACATGTACAGATCGGTTCGGCAAGAAACAAAAAACAAAGCCAAACTGTAATAAGAACAACGCCGTCGATATATAATTGATTTGATCGAGAATCGAGCCTTTTTCGTCTTTTTCTGGTGTCTAATGCGTATACACCCCAAGTGTTATAAATCTTTATTGCCCTGTTAGCAACAGGTATTCGAAAATTGATAACGATGATAGATGACGTCAAAAAGCCTCGATCCAAAGTGAGCAATCCAAGCGAACGAATAAAAGCTATATATGCGCGCGGAGCCTCCGCGGCATGACGAGTGCAAAATACAAGCGATTTAACAGGAATGAGTAGTCGTTTAGCGTCAGCGATGGATCCAATACACTTTTTTTTGGCTCATGCTCTCGCGCGCATAAAACGACGCAGATCGATTCTAGTCGTTTATTTCTCTTCGTTGTTATTCCAATGATTTGCCATTGTTTCGATCTTGAATTGAAGATGGGCAAAAATTGGGATTTTTATTCCAACGCAATATTATAAAGTTTATAAAAAAATCACATTGAATCGAGGCAAAAAGCCGTATAACGTAAAACACAAGCTGGCCTTTCGTATTGCTGAAGTGTTAGCATACCAGCGAAGGCTTGGCTTTTATCTCAGGGATCACTGGCTCGTCGACGAATGGCCGCAGATTGATTAACGGCTTTTCTCAGCGAGAAGTCGATCGACCTCGCCGCACGAAACTGCGTTAAGTGCCAAAAGCTAATCCATCGGGTGAATGAGAATTTGATTTTGGTTTGTCTTGAAAGGCGATTTTCGCAAAGGGCTATTATTAAGGTCCACTTAATTGAATTTATAAGTCAACGATCAATTTTATTTATTTTTATGTTTTTATATGCAATTTTGTTTTGTAGTTATAAGCTCTTCATAGTACTTAGATATTATCAATGCGTATCAATGCACATTTTATCTTGAAAAAATTTCTATAAACTACTTTTGAAGAAAATATAAAGAAATTATCAAAAATAGCAATTCAATCTTAAGTAATATAGATTTAAAACTACACCAATCAATTCAATTAGATTCAATTTATCCATGAATCCATTACAGGACATTAAATAAGAATCAGAAACTGAATGAACAGTTTTTATATATAATGTAATAGACCGATTTCTCCATCAAATTTAAACGGTGATTAATATTGTCTTTTTTTGCTCTCGCCGCAGGGAACCGAGGAGGATGACAGAGCTTCCGTCGCATCGGTAAGTTTAGCATCATCATCCAAGTCATTACCTTTATTTCAATTTTTTGCCGTTCATTATTAACCGACAGGTTAGTGCTAAGCCTCGTCAAGCAAATTGATTTAAGAAAACGCACCGCATAATTTTTATTCAACTAATGTTATGAATCTATTTTCTTCGTTATTAATATCATTTTTTTGTTCTTTCGCGGTTAAACTGCTTTTGAAAAATATTAAAAATCGACTCGCATTTACTCACTCATACATCATCGCCTGCTCGCTTGATTACTAATAATTGCTTCGACGAATTTATTATACCAACGTACAGTTTTTACTTCCGGCTCAACAGCAACTGGACGCAAAGTCACGCGAATGGTTGGTCCGAGCAGCACAGGGTGACTATCAGGCACTTGCGAAACTTGCGGCTGAGGAACCCCGACTCGCCAGAACTAAGGTAAGTTTTATAACAAACATAATATAATATTCTTTTTATTTATTGTTTCTCTTATGATAATATTATGCATTTATAACTACGAATCACGCATAAACATTGTTTTTCTTAACATTAAAACTTACCTCAATAATTCGAATCCATTGAAAATTCAAGGCTAATAAAGTCCGAGAACTCAAAATAATACATCTCAAAAATGTATAGTTTGATCCGTACATTATGATAACCATTACCTAGCTACAATTATCATGTTTTGTTGGAGTATTATCCTGAAATAGATATATGCTTATTTTTGCAAAGTAATGTGGAAAATTTGGTAGGATTTACAGCAATTTTTGTGATTATGTTTATGATTATCCAATTTTTAAATTTTGTTTTTGTTGTAAATGTTCAGTGAACTCGAGGATTTTTCAGCCTACGGAAAAAATTATAACATTCAAACTAATCAATTGTTCGCGAAAAGCGATACAGCTACTGCGGGCAAAAGTATCGGAGCGCACATAATACGCTAAACTCGCCACACCCGCTACGCGTAAATCCCGCGCAGGCTATCCTGACTCGATCCCGCGTGCGCGCGCGAGCGGTACACCGATGCAAAACGAGCGCGCCGCGCAGTTTCGATAAATTTTCTAAGCGGCAGTTGTAACCGCGGATTTACGTATGTGCACGTAGTTTTGTGTGTACACTGCAATCCAGGAGGACGAAAAAAAAACGAGAGAGACCGAAAAAGAATGTAAGCCGCAATATAGCATACGTGACCAGCGAATTTTGCATTTTGCGTTCGTTCACGTTCGGCGCTCGAACACTATTGCTGCTGCGCGCTTAAAAGTCGGTAATTCTTCGTTGAAATATTTTTTTCTTGTCAACTCGTCAAGTCATTGCCGTTCATAGCGTTAGAGGCAAATTGCGAAATTGTTTTTGCACGCATAACGATGAAAATTTTTCATTTTCCCGTAAAAAAAAATCGTCCGAGAGACCGTCGAAATTCATTCTCCAGTCGCGTTGCACAATGGGAGAATATCCCTCCTGTCTGCGCGTACGAAGCGCTCCTGTAGCAGGCTCCGGGCCACGTCCCTCGGGATGAATTGTCCGAGGCCGCGTGTTTGTGGATATAACATCGTTGCGCATAGAGACTTCTGTATAGAGGCAAGGCAGCCTCGGTACTCGCTACTCATACATATCACAAGTCTCATTTCGCGGGGGAGCAGCAGCAGCAGCAGCTCTAGCTCTGGTGTATTATAAGCACAAATGCAGTAATATACGCGAGTGCGGGCATGGTCTCAGCTCGTCGTCTGAGGAAGAGGAGGAGGAGTCGTGGGGCTTTGTTTGGCTCGCGCGTTTGAATTAGAAGTTCGCGCCGCGACACGCTTGTAATGCGCTGCTATATTATATATATAACACCACACGTGCATTTTAGCTGCATTAGAGACCCGAATAAGTTGTTGTATGCGCGTCGTACTAACCTGCTAATCCGCTCTACATATACATGTATATTGCCTTGGCAAGGCGCGCGTGATTCATTATAATACCTCAGCTCTCGTGTGTGTGTACATATCGTGCGGTATTTACTCGTCGAGTAACTTATGTATATTATACGAACCGAGCCGGGGCTGAGGGGCGCGCGCGCACGAAAAACAACACGAGTCAAACATTTCCAGCCATCCAGGCACTCGATTTATCGTCCTCGATATTTCTCTATCTCTCTCTCTCGGCTTGACTTTTTTTCTCTCCCTCTCGCGTGTGCTTCAGCAGCTATAGCATAGCTATAGCAATGGCTATGTGTACGATATGTATATGAGCTGGTGGATTTGTGAATGTATGTGTGTGTGTGCGCGTCTATGTGCGCAAGGGGTTAAACGCGTTGATTAGCTGCGGTGTTGATTTAATTACCGAGGGAGTAATTGGCACGACTACTGCGCGTCGTATTATATACGTATAGGCCAGTATAGTTTCTTCTTCTCCCTTCCAATCCACATCTCTCACCTCGCTTCTCCCCCCGCCGTTCACGTGTGCACGTGTAAGTGTATAGACGCGCGGATATATATTCGGGGAATTGCCGTTGCATATTCATCGATAGATTATTATAAGCGAGTATGAGGCTCGTCGGCTCGGAGAATTGGACGTTAGCGAGGCTGCGCTGCGCATCGCTGCTCGCTGCTGCTACTGCACGATCTCGAGAGACTCCAAACGGATATATAATAATATCTATACGTATACGTACATACTCATTCGTCGAGGTGAAGATCAGTCGGAAAAATTATCCGACGGGCGCCGCTGATGCCGTTGCCGCTCGTGTGCACTGCGCGCCCATAAAAACGTCATCCAATCAAAAACAGGGTTTTGAACTTAACTGCAGCTCGGCGGCGCGTGCATCAAATTCAGTGCCAGTGTCGATGTACAACGTTAGTCGTGATATTCCATCAGTTCCGCGCATTTACCCCGTGCACAGATATATCTATGTGATACACTCAATGTCATCCCATATAATGCGAGAGCATTCGGAGCTCGTACGTTTGTGCGTTATGCATCGTATATTCAGGAGCTATATTTGCGATTCGCGCAGCGCCAAAGCTCGAGCTACCCCGCGCGCGCGCGAGCCTATATAATATATACCTAAAGCTCTCGTAAAACTCGAGCTTGATTTACGACGGATGCCCATTAGACGCGTGTAACTGCCATCATCGATGCGACGCGCTTAAATCTGCCGCCGCTGCTACGGTGCTGCTCGTGTACCCCGTATATGCCCATTGTGTCGCGCGCCTGCGTTATGTGTCGGCTTCCGCTGCAGGTGTATACGTCAGAGAGAGGTACTTCATTAAAAATCGATGCTGCATCGATGTATTTGGTATACCATTAATGACCTCTTGCGCGCGTGTCAAGACACGATAATAACCCTGCGCGAGTCATTCTCCTAGCTTAAAAGTTTCAATTTACAGAGATTTTAAGTGCGCGTAAATACTCGTGTTTCCGCGCAGCAATGTTGAAAATAGCAGCTCGTTAATATTGCAGCCGCTAGTGTATATGGCAGGATTTCAATTTGTAACGTATCGACGGCGCACAATTCAATTAAAGTATTCATTAAAATCTAATCAGTGCGAATCTCGACGCCGTTACGCTGGTACAGAGCCCGCGCGGCGGTTTCTTCAATTTATTCCTTTTCCACCGACGTAACAATTTTACAGGAGTTGAGCTTTCGACCGCGAAGAACCTCGATTACCATGGAAATTTAATCGATGATCGCAGACGAAGGAGTTTTGATTCTTCCATTTCTATAAATCTTCTTTGAGGCATGCGTGTGTGTGTTTGATACGTATACGCACTAGCGAGGTACTACCGTGTTGGTAAACGGGATTCTTATTTATCATATTGATTTTATCGTTTCGCTCTGTGCGCGAGCACCGCAATATATAACTGCGGATCGATTAAATTTTCCACTTCGTCACTCGAGGAGGTTTCGGGATGATCATTTTTTGCTCGTTTCGTTTTTAATAAACTCAAAGAGCCAACGAGTCTATATAAGTTGGTCGATTTGTCTCTCTCCTTTTTTAAACCTGTCCCTTTCATCCACGAGCTCGTATAATACGTAAACGCACACGCCCACCCAACCGAAATAATCATCGCTCGTATCAGATTCTAATTATCAGCCTTTAAACAAACAAATAAACGCGAGGCTGTGTGGCTGCTGCGTCGATCTCTCGCGAGGCCGGACCGCTGCACCGCTCGGTGTAATTCTCTCTTTCGCTTATATGCCACACGAGAGAGCGAGCGAGCGAGCGAGCTCCGCCTGATTTAAGGAGTGTAAGACCGCCCACCCCGATATTGCGCGCTTCTGCGGACTTTGCGACTCGTTGCAGCTCTCTCTCTCTCTCGCTCGGCACTGTCTGCATTGGCTTCATATACCTGCCGAAAAGCAAAAAAACGAGCAAACACGATTTTTGATGCCAGCCTTCGATTAGGTCATTAATTATTTTATCGTAACTTTAGCGCGATGCCATTTTAATGGCGCCCCACGTTTATCCGAGTACAGCCGCGAGAGCAGCAACAGCTCGTAATTTCTAATGAACTTAACTTTCACAATTTTCATTAATTTTGCGCGCGCGGTGGATCGCGCTGTGCTTTGCACTTGCATTACCGCGTGTACGTGTATATATAACTCGACGACATACATCATTGAGTTGTTGGGAGGAAAAATTTCGGAGCAACAATTCGAAGTACACTGCGCACAGAGCGCCACGAGCACGATACATATAAATAGCGTCCTAATGGTAGCTCAAGATAAGCCTCGTGTACGTACATATGAACCATTAGCTCGAACAATGCTTCGCGAAATCCCCCAAGGATTTTCCGAAGAAACTTCGGCTGGACTCGCTGCTGGGCAGCAGCAGCGGCAGCGGCAGCGGAGAGGAAAGGAGAGGCGGATCTCGAGCTCGTTGACCTCGACGCTTGTCCTAAATTTCCAAAGAGACCATTACATACGAATATATATTTGCTCTTCTGAGAGAGTTAAAAAGAAGAAAACGCATATCCGAATTGTAATTATTTTGCGATTGCAAGCTTACGTACTCCGTATAAACGTATACACACACAGACATGCACCTATACATCAATCCGCGTGCCAACTCAATTTGGTCGAAGAGAGAAATCGCCTCGGATCGATCGAAACGCGAAGGTATAAAGCAATAGCCCCTCGCGCATTGGCACCTCCTTCTTTCGATTACCTTCCGCTTCTTATGCTGCTTCTTCGTCTCACGATCATGCTGCAGCAGCAGTCTCTGACAATGCCAATATACATCGTCCACGCTCTCGTGCCCCTGAAGTATGCGCACGTATGTATATAATACGGACTCGAGATCGAAGCGCAGGCCGCGCGCGCAGGACTTAACGAAAGACTGATTTATGCTCGCAATTATACATCGGTAATATAATATAGGCCTGGCGATGATGCGCGCGCGCGTGAACAACTCATTATTCCATCGGATGTGGCTGCTGTTGGACTGGTGATT